GCGTGGAAGCGAGGTGCGGCGGCCATTACGCCGAAGAACCACGCTAGGAGATCTGGCGAGTAGACCTTTCGTGTACATCCATGGGCCTCTCCGAGCTGGGCCTTCGCCAGCTGGGAACCTCTCAGATGTACGGAGAACTCGGGCAGACGAACGCAACTTCAAATGGCAAATGCAGGTCTTGGCGCGCAGAATCGCGCGCGAGATGCCGATCGCACCCAGGTATAACATTGAATAGGAACACATCCACATGTACATCTCACGACGACCACGGTGAGTCTATCGTGTCCGTGGCCTGCTGGGGCATACGTCTAGCACAGTATGCCCCTGGCGCCGAACTCCCCGAGCAGCCGGGCTCCTGTCCAGGCACCTCCCCTGACTACCTACCAGACCACCCCAACCCAACCCGAAGACCCGAATTTGACCCGAACTTCGGGTTGGGGGGGGTGCGGGTTCCAGGTGCTTTTTTTTTTTGCGATGTTCCGCGCCCCCCCCCCCCCCCACTGGAAATGGAGGGCACACTGAGGCCTTCGGGTTGGGCTGGGGTGGTTTGGTGGGTGGTGATCCCCCTTCCCCCAAGCCCGATCCGTGCGACCGCGGGGGGGGCGAAGCCCGCGAGGGGCGCCGCTCAGACGCCCGTGCGCTCCGTGCGCTCTGCTCGGGCGGAGCTGCCCCTCGCAGGGATTCGGCCCTGCCCTGCGCATGCTGCCGGATCGCCTCGTGCCCTGGCCCGGCACGCCGCCGGTGCGTCCAACGAAAGATACTTGAGTCGGGCGTGTCCCCCTCCAGGGGGGATTTTGGGCGAAAAAATAACAAATGCACGCCAAAAATACCCCAAAGATGCCCAAAACATACTCGAACGGTCGTCCCCGGACTATTGTCTGACTATTGTCCCCGGGCGATTGTTCGACTATTTCTGAACACTCCCCCTGTAGAGGGACGGGCCCGACCTAAGACCACGCCGCCTGCCTGGAGCGGCAGGGGCGCGGCGCCGAAGCCCCCCCCCCGAACTGATCGACGGGGGCGCCCGCCGCCACTTCTGCGGCCCGCCAGGTCGCAGCCTCCACCCCCGCCTCCACCGCCTCCTCCCCCGATCTGCTCTGCCTCCCAGACACCCCCCTGATCCTGCCTCCCCTGATCTGGTCTGCCCTCTCCCCCTGCTCTGTCCTGATCTGCCTCCCAGACCCTCCCCTGATCTGATCTGCCTCCTCCCCTGATCTAGTCTGATCTCCCCCGCCCACGTCAGCAGTGAGAACAAAAAGTGGCATAAGCATAAGAACTCGGAGGTCCGCGCGGATTTCTCGGGTTGGCGCTGGGGCCCCCCGGCGGCGCCTCCGGCGCCGCCCCTGGCGCGCTCCGCGCGCCAGGGAGGGGGGGTCCAGCACCGATCCAAGAAATCCGCGCGGACCTCCGAGCTTTTATGTTTATGTGACATCTTGTTCCCCTACCAATCCCCGCGCCCACGTCAGGCACCGGATCTGGCGCGCACCGCGTGCCAACGTGTGTGGTGGGCGCCAGTCTGGGCTCACCAGCGAAGCTTGCCGCCGATGCCGTACTTCACAAGAAGAGACTCATAGTAGGGCTTCAGTGCCTGCACGTCAGGGACAGCATCGCCCTTGGAGTACAGATCGAACTTGTTGAATTCCCTCACCCACCGAAGGGTCTCTTTGTCCTCTGCGACCTCAAAATGCGTGTACGCGCGTTTGTCGTGCCATGGGTAAAACGAGTGGAGCCGGATCATGTTGAGGCCCTCCTCTGGAATGGTGCAGCCGTTGTACTTGAGCATCTGGTACATGTACTCGTCGTGACCCCAGGAGAACATGAGGCTAGAGATGCCGCACCCTGGCTGGTACATGCCATGCTTCGTGCCATAGACTGGGTGGTCGTAGTCCGGGTTCTGCTTAAAGGACTCTGGGAACACGATGGCGTCCATGGCGGGTGCGCAGCCCACCGGGAAGGTGTCGCCGACAACGGCCCACTGCTCCAGCATCCAATCACCGGCGAACTTTGGCAGCGCCATCACCTTCCCGAGGTCGTGCAGCAGGCCCACCAGGTGGAACCAGTCGTGCTCGGGCCACTGGGCACGGATGCGCTCTGCCGTCTGGAAGTCGTGAATGCTGTTCGGGAGGTCCACGTCAGGATCGGAGTCATCGATAAGGTCGTCCAACATCTCAATGATCTCCATGACGGTGAACTCGCCCTTCTCAAACTTTAGCCATCGCTCGCGCTGCTGGCGGCCAAAATCCACTGTCTGCTTAGTGTGCATGGTATTGTACGTCCTGGCAACTTCGTCCTGCCGGCACGAATCCTCATAGTTGCGAAACGTGTCTCCGAACATGTTCTTGCCCTCGTCGATGCAAAGGCTGGGATTGGAATCACACGTGCTCCGAGTCTCAGAATCAGCATCCTTATTGCTCTTGTCCAGGTCGGCGAGTAGGCCATCCATGTCCTTCAAGTCCACCGAGCGGCCAAGCTTCCACGACAACTCTGCGGCAATCGTGGTACGCACGATGCTTGGATGGCGCGACAGCGCTTCCTGCTCGAGGCGGTGGTGCTCGCTGCTGCGTCCAGCGCGCACCATCGTGATGAACTCGTTGAGCTCGGTGGTGTATGCCTCTTTGTAGCGCTGCGGGAAGCTCCACTGTGCGCAAGGCATAAGGTGGCCCTCCGAGGTAGCCAACTCCACAGTGCTGGTAAGCTCGTTCTTTGCCGTCAACATTCCCTTGCCGCCGAATGCCTCGATGCGCTGGTCGTAGCCGTACGTAGCGTCGCGACAAGTGTCCACCATGGCAAGGAGGCCGCTAGGGTACTTCAGCATCACAGCAACAGTGTCGATGTCGCCCATCTTCTCGATCTCGCTGTTGTACGCGTGTCCCACGGACATCACCGACTCTGGTTCCTGACCCCCGCTTAGCCAATTGAGCATGTCGAAATCGTGGATCAGCATGTCGTGGAAGATGCCTCCACTGGTGCGCAAGTACTCCATGGGCGGCACAGGGTTGTCCCGGCTGCAGCACTTAATAACCTTGAGCTCGCCAACGGAACCATCATCCACGTGCTTCTTGAGCGTACGGAAATTCTTGTCGCAGCGCCTCTGGTAGCCGCAGTACAGCGGCAAATTCTTGCTGGTTGCCAGCCTCACGGCCTCCTCCACCTCCTTCAGCTCGTGCGAGATGGGCTTCTCCGTGAGCACGGACTTGTCGGCGCTCAGCGACTGCATGATGAACGGGAAGTGAGTGTCCGTCGTCGACGCAATGATCACTACCTGCACGTCTGGGTCCGCGAGGGCGGGCGCAAGGGAGCCCGCCCAGCTGCAGCCCTTCTCTGCGGCGACGCTCTTGGCCCGGGACTCGTCCACGTCGACGACCCATTTGAGCTGGGCCTGCTCGGGGATGCCGGCGATGGAGGTCATGTGGAAGTGGCCTGCGCGTCCGAGTCCAACGATCGCCACGCCGATGCGTCCGTTGGTCTTCGCCATGGCGCCTGTGCTGGTGCCGAGCGGGCTGTGCGAGGAGCGCGGGGGGGATGCGCGGGCGCCGCTCCAGACGGCGCTTGCCCTGAAAGCAAAAGCTTGAGCCCAAACGGCTCGAGCCGACACGGCCGCGGCGGCTCCCGCCCTCAACCTGGAATGCGGTGGGAGCCGGGCACCTCGAGGACCGACGCCGCCGTTGCCGTGACCGCCCTGCTGCAGCCGCGAGCATGGCCGCAGCCGCTTGGCGAAGCCCTGCATCCGCACTTTGGACGCCCGAAATGGGTACGGAAAGAATGGGCACAATGCCCAACAGCAAATGTTGTCCCGAACCCACAGCGGCCGCTGTTGGGCAGGCGGCCTTCTGTCCCAAACGAACACAGGCCGCGGCGGCGTGGACGGCGAATCCTGTTCAAAATGAGGAGGAACTGTTGGGCATTGTACCCATTCGTTCCGTGCCCGTGTCGGGCGTCCAGACGCACGGCCGGCACGGTTGCCCTGATTGACACACGCCCTGACTACCTACCAGACCACCCCAACCCAACCCGAAGACCCCGATTTCGGGTTGGGGGGGGTAAGGATTCCACATGTGTTTTTTCGATGTTTCCCGAACCCCCCCCCACTGGAAATCGAGGGTAAATCTGAGCCTTCGGGTTGGGTTGGGGTGGTTTGGTGGGTGGTGACGCCCTCCTCGCGGACCGTCGCGCCTCGGTGCCTCCGTGCGGGGGGAGCGCGGCCGCCGCCGCCGCGGCCACGAGCGCCCCCCTGGGGCCGACCTGCTCCACCCCGCCCGTGCCCGTGCCCCGAGGGCAACCCATCCCTGGAGGAGCAGAGAAGGCACCGATGCTGCTGCAGACACAAGGGCGGGCTCCGACCAGCCGGCGCGCGGACCCACGGACAGCTGCTCATGAGTGAAGGGCGACGTGCGAACTGTGCTCACAATGATTGGACTAAGCAAAAAGCATCCGCGAACTGTGCGGACGTGAAGCGGGCTACTGTACCGATGCTGCTGCAGTGGGGGCTCGGCCACAGGAAACCTCCGTAAAGGACCGCAACCCTGAAATCCGCGATCTCTTCCACGAACATCCAGGTTCGTCGATCGGAAGTCGTCAAGGTATGATTAGGGGGCCCCTCGGAATCCAAGAAGCCCAGGGCGCCCTGGCAGAATCCAACTGGTTTCTTGGCACGCGCCCCCACTGTACTCCCAAGACCTCTCTCCGGGCGCACCCTCGCCACAACTTTGAAGTCGGGTCTGTCCCCTTACTGGGGGATTTTCGACGAAAAATAAAAATTATTCACTGCGTGGGGATCCCCATATGTGCATCTCCTTGCTGGCGCTCCCTTGGTGGTGGGACTCGGTGAGGACGAATCTGGATTTAAGTGTGACTGAACTGCCTCTCTCTCTGCTCTCTCTGCTCTCTCTGTCTCTCTCTCTCTCTCTGCCTTCTCTCTGTCTCTGCCTCTCTTTCCCTGCCTCCTCTCTCTCTCTCTCTCTGCCTCTCTCTCTGCCTCTGTCTCTCTGCCTCTCTCTCTC